CTGGCACCAGCCCTGAGCCCCCCGACCCGCCTGAGTCCTGCTGCCTATGCCTCCCCCGCCCAATTTCTCCAGCTGTCTCTGGGGGTCTTACCAGAGGTGGTGCCCACGTAGGTCTCCATTTCCACCTCCTGCAGCGGGTGGGGGTGAGGGGCTGAGGCGGGTGCTACGGGCCGGAACATGTAGCTGTCATTGGGCTGAGAGAGCATCCTGGACACAGACACCTTTCGAGCCACCAGGGGGTTGGGGGCGTCAGGGCCGGTGCCCGGGCTCTGCGGGGCTACGGGCCTGGGACCCGCGGGCGGCCCCTGCGCCATCTCCAGCTCGAGCTCCGCGTCCAGCTCGGCGTCCTCACGGGCCTCCTTGTTGCTCTCCTCCAGGTGCTTCATGAGCACGGCCACGACCACGTTGACCAGCACGAACTGGGCCACCAGCACGAAGGTGACGAAGTAGATGGGCGAGATGGCGGGCAGGTAGGTGAGGCAGTGCTTGTCTTCCCGGACGCACTCGCGCAGCGTGTCCTGTGGGCGAAGGGCAGCTGCAGGAGGGCGCAGGCCGACCCCCATCGCTGCCAGCCTGGCTCGGGCTGGTACCTTCATGATCCCGTTCCAGTTGTCCCCCGTGGACACGCGGAACAGCGTGAGGAAGGCCATGCCGAAGTTGGAGAAGGTGGCGTGCCGGCTCAGGCCCTCACAGGGGTTGTCCTCAGTGCACTCTGCAGGGTGAGACCGCCAGGTCACCACACACTGGGGTCAGCCACTCGCTGGGTCAGACACACGCTCTGGGGTCAGGCACACATGCTGAGGTCAGGCACACACTCTGGGGTGAGGCACACGCTCTGGGGTGAGGCACACACTATGGGGTCAGGCACACGCTCTGGGGTCAGGCACACACACTGGGGTCAGCCACTCGCTGGGGCGAGGCAAACACGCTGGGGTGAGGCACACACGCTGGGGTCAGGCACACGCTCTGGGGTGAGGCACACACGCTGGGGTGAGGCACACGCTGGGGTCAGGCACACGCTCTGGGGTGAGGCACACACGCTGGGGTGAGGCACACGCTGGGGTCAGGCACACACGCTTTAGGGTCAGGCACACACGCTGGGGTTAGGCACACGCTCTGGGGTCAGGCACACGCTGGCTGGGAGCCCGAGATCCACCAGAAAGAAGGTCGTGCTCCTCTGAGCATGGAGTGACTGCCTAGCTTGGGGGTCCCTGGCAGGTGGGCACCCAAAGGAGGCACCTGAGGGGCATGTCTCTTCACAGGTACCTGGGGGTGGGGGGGCTCCTCCTTGGCCTGGGAGCTGCCTGGAGCCCTGCTTGTTCTGGATCGAGGGCTTTCTGGGTGGACAAGCCACGGCCTCGGGGCCAGCCAGCTCTGGCCCAGCCCCAGGGGACGGCACTGCCTGCTTCCCAGGCCCTGTCTTGGGTCAGGACACGCCCATGCCTCAGTGGAGTAACGGGGCCACCCTGGAACCTGAGGCGAGGCCAGGGGCCAGGAGCCGAGCCTGGGGTCTGGGGCATTAGCTGCCGGGTCCCAGGAGCTCCTGGGCAGAACCCAAACTGACAACCACCTCAGCCGCCTCAGACAGGCCCCCTGTGGCTCCTGGAAGCGACTGTGTGTTCAGTCACCGACTGTTCAGAAGATCCCGGCAGGAAGGGGAGGGGGTGCTGCCAGAGAGGGTCCCCCACTGCCCCCTGCCTGGACTGGCCAGACGGGGTTTAAGAAAACCCTTGGTGACAGTGAAGGACATGCTGCAGCGTTTGTCCCCTGGGACCGGTGCCGATTAGGGTGGCATGTGCACGTGTCTGCATGTGGATGCGTGCTCAGGTTCACGTGTGGCTCTGCCCCCCTTGCTGGGCTGTAAGTACACTGGGTGTATATGTGCACGTGTGTGCCATGGGTCTGTGTGTGCGTAGATGCTCCTGCATGTGTCGCTGTCATGCTCGCCCTGTGCAGTGAAGGGCTGAGGGAGCAGGGGGCCCTGCCTTGGTCTGGCCAGTGGCCTGAGCTATCTGCCGGACATGTGTGTGGGGGGGGTGTGAGGCTGCACCTGCCTGGACCCCAACTCACCAAGCCTCCCGAACAGCTCCACTCCCAGGGCAGCATAGATAAAAAACAGGAGCATGAAAAGTAGGCCGAGGTTCCCTACCTACACGGGAGAGAAGCAGAACCAGGTCAGGCCTCAACCCGCCTGCTGTGCCATCAGTGACTG